ATAAGGGAATCCTTTTATTTCCGGGGGAGCGTAAGACCCGGGTTTGCCAGGACTCGGGTTCGCCATCGTTTTTTGACGACCGCGCCTCGGATTTTGACGAGGAGCAGTTTCTCGGGATGTCTGCAGCGGGAGGCCTCGTCAAAAAATGCAGGCTCGGCCTCGTCCTTTTTGTTGACGACCTCGTCGGGGATTTCCGCGTCCCCTCTACCCAGGTCTTACGTCCCCCTGATATTTGTATGTCTTTACTTGTGTGTCCCGGGGCCCCTTCGAGCAGAGCCCTCCGGCGGGGCCCCCGAGGCGCTCCCGGGCGGCCCCCGAGGCGCTCCACGACGGCCTCGGAGGGCCTCCCCACGGAGGCCCGAGGGCCGCGGGCGGCCCCGAGGCGGTCCAAGATAGCCTTATGTCGGGCCTGTCCCCCTACTCCTCCTCCTCCTCCTCCTCCTCCTCCTCCTCCTCCTGCTCCTCCTCCTCCTCCTCCTCCTCCTCCTCCTCCTCCTCCTCCCTCCTCCTCCTCCTCCTCCCTCCTCCTCCTCCTCCTCCTCCATTGCTTTCCTTGTGAATAACTCCTCCCTGTCGCACCCCGGGGCCAGTTACAGGTGATTTTCGACGAAAGTTAAAACATCCCCCCCAAAAATACAACAAACAGGCAAACACATGTTCAAAACATACTCCCCAGACTATTCTTAAAATTTTGCTGTTCTGATTATTTTGGGGGGATGTGTTATTTTTCGCCGAAAGCCCCCCTGTAGGGGGACAGGCCCGACTTAAAGATAGCCCCAAGACGGCCCAAGAGGCTCCAAAACGCTCCACGTGGGCTCGCAGAAGACGCCCGAGATGGCTCGCACAAGCAAACATCGTTCCAAAATGTATGGAAGACGTGCATGTTCGCAACCACCGTGCTTTTCGTCTTCACAGCGTCCACGACGACAATACTAGCCCCCAAGATCGGCCCAAGACGGTTCAGGAGGCCCCCATGAGGCTCCCAGGACGGCCCCAGGACGGCCCCAGGACGGCCCAAGGCGGCCCCAGGACCGCTCCTGAGGCGCCCACGACGGGCCGAGAGTCACCAAGGCAGCCCCAAGAGCGTCCGAAGACTGCCCCAGACGGCCCCAAGACGGCCCCAAGCCCGCTCCAGAGGCGTCCAAGACGGCCGCAGACAGCCCCAAGACGGCGCAAGGGGGGGTCACCCAAGACGGCCCAAGAGGGCCCCAGGAGGCCCCAGGAGGCCGCAAGACGGTCCAAGGGTGTCCCAAAAGGCCCCTCCCAGGAGGCCGAACAGAGACCCCGAGAGGCCCCCAAACGGTTCCCAAGGAGAAGGAAGGGCCCGCCATTAGTGGCCGCATAGGAAGCGTTGCCCTCGTCGCCGCTGCCGCCCAAGTGAGGCGAGATACACCAGAGGCCTCCAGGGAGCGCAGTCCCCAGCACAGTCTCATCCCAGAGGGGCGCGGAGACGGCGCCCAAAATTACGTGGCTCCCTCCGCGTCCGCAGCGAGCACCCATGCACAATCCACCGTGCGACATTTCGAGTGCCCTGGGGCAGCATCGATTTTTCCAGTGGGCACGAAGCAGACAGCAGCAGCGGCGGCACACAGCGGTAAGCAGCGGCAGGCAGCGGGTAGAAGCACGCACCAAGCGGAAATGGCCATCAGCAACAACCTGCAGCCACAAAGAGCACGAACACGCAGCAGCGGCCTCAAGCACGACCAAGAATACACAAAAGCGGCAGCAAGCAGCAGCACGCAGCAGCATACGCGGAATGTGAGGCCGGGCCCGGCAATCAGAGGCTAGTTCTTGCAGATTTTGTGGACGGAGTCCACGGGCCAGTTGTATCGACGTCGCCAGCCTCCTTCTGGTGCCCACAACCCACGACGACGACGACCACCACCACCACCACCACCACCACCACCACCACCCGACAACGACGTCGACTACGACGGGTACGACGGCGGCCTCTCGGCGGCGACGACAACGACGCCGACGATGATGGCGACGACGGCGGCCACGCGACGGCCAAACTGCTGGAACGCTGCTAGAGCTCGGACACGAAAGCGCGGTCTCGCTGCCGCCGCCCCCGTCGCCGCCGTGCTTATAGGTTTTCGATAATATATCCGCCGTTCCTCCGAAAACCATTCCAGAAAGATGTCGTGGACGGAGTCCACGGGTCAGCCCCAGTCTCTTCTACAATGCAGGGATCCGCGCGTGCGAGAAAATCCAACTCCCAGGCCCTCCAGGGCGCCCTCCGGGGCGCAGATGCACCAAAAACGGCCTCGGGACGGCTCCGAGAGGCTCCAGGGGGCGCCAAGACGGCCTCAGAGCACCCTTGGGAGCCCCAAGACAGCCAGCCCTAGAAGCCTCCAAGGCAGGCGAGGAGGCTCCCAAGACGGCCCAGGAGGGCTTCCAGAAGAGCCCCAAGAGGCCCAAACGTCCCATTCCCGACGGGAAACTCAAATTTCCGCAATATCTTGCTTTTTCGTTCTCGTAGCGTCCAAGATTGCTATACAGGTCCCCCAGCTCTCCCCAAGACGCGCCCAGAGGCCCCCAGGAGGGCCCCCAAACGGCTCCACACGGCCCCGGGACGGCTCCAGAGGCGCCCGAGACGGCCCAAGACGCACCCAAGACAGCCCCAAGAGCAGTTCATAATGGCCCACGACGGCCCCACCGCCCCGTGTCCAAGACGGCTGTTGAGGCCCCCACCGCCCCGTCTCCAAGTCTTTCCGTCTGCACAGTCTCCACGACGGTCTCTGGGCCGTCCAGGACGGCTCCAGAGGCGCCCGAGACGGCCCAAGAAACACCCAAGGCAGCCCCAAAAGCACCCAATATCGGCCCAAGATGACCACAAGACGGCCCCAAGATGGTCCGAGAGGCGCCCAACACGGCCCCACATCGCCCCGAGACGGCCCAAGAGGCATTCAAGATTGCCCAAGAGGGCCCCGAGAGACTCCCAGGAGGACGAAACGAGGCCCCCAAACGGCCCCCAAGAGGCATTTTCCTGGGGAACGTCGAACTTCCAGCGTCGTCTTGGGGGCTTACTTGGACCCTCTGGGAGCCATCTCTGCGCCAGGTGGGGTCGTCTTGGGGCGGTGCGCTCGAAAGGTCGATTCGAGTCCTCGCACTGGGGCCCGTCTTAGGGAGTTCGTGGGGCCCTCTGGGGCCGTCTGGGAAGCCTCTTGGCCCGTCCTGGAGACCTTTTGGGCCGTCTCGCCGCCCTCTTGCGGGCCTCCTATGCCGCGCCCACTGCCCCCATTGTCACCACACTACCAGATCAAATTATCATTCGGACCCGGCGAAGAGCAGATACACTTCTCACGGTTACCCTCCCCACAGAAGCTATGATGAACACAGGCTGCGGCGTCAGAAACAGTTTTTGTCCACGCCGTGTCATGCCTACATGGGTGTGCTTCCACTGGCACCGCCTCCACCACCGCGTTCCTGCCTTCAGGCCTGCTTGCATGCATCCCTCGCTCACCTCCACCTCCAGCGGCCACCTCCTCCATCCACGCCGTCCCCTCCAACCTCCCCTTACCCGCGAGGCCCCAGAGCTCCACTTCCACGTCCACGCCATGGCGGGCAGATTCCGCGGCCAGAAGGCCGCGGGTGAGCCCTAGTCTCTACTACATTGCAGGGCCCAGTGCGTGCCAGAAGGGCGCAGGCCCCAATGCACCAAAACCGCCCTGGGCTGGCCCCGGGCCGCCCCGGGACGCCCAGGCAGGCTCCAGGACATGTCGAGAGGGCCCCCAGAAGCCCCCAAGACGGCCCCGGAGAGCCCCGGCACGCTTAAAGATGGGCCCAAGACGCCCGAGATTCGCCCCAGACGGCCCAAGAGGCGTCCAAGACGCTCGAAGAGGCCTCCCAAGAGGCCTCCCAAGAGGGCCCCGAGCGACAGCAATCGTCGATTTCTATTGTGTTTTTCGATGTTTTCGGCCTCCTCGCCTCTTCGGTTTCCCGACGCTCCAAGACGGCCCAAGAAGTCCCCCCGACCGCCCCAAGACGGCCGAAGATGACCCCAACAGAGCCCCAAGACGGGCCAGGACGGCCCCAAGACGGTCCCAAGACGCCCCAGGACGGCCCCAGGACGGCCCAGGAGGCGCCCCAGACGGCCCAAGAGGCACCCAAGACGGCCCCAGGAGCGGCCCAAGACGGCCCAAGACAGCCCAAGAGGCGCCGAGGCGGGCCTCAGACGGCCCCAAGACGGCCCAAGAGGCACCCAAGACGGCCCGAGAGGGCCCTAAGAGCCCCCCCGGGAGGCCCAAAAGAAGGCCGAAGAGGCTCCGAAACGGCCCCCACGAAGCCTTCAGTGGCTTCAGAATTCCCTCCAGGAGCGGGGGAGCGGACGAGAGGCGACAGGCATATCGCAGGCAAAAACGCCCCAAGAGATCCCCAAACGGCCCCCACGAAGCCCTAAGTGGCCTCAGAATTGCTTCCAGGAGGGGGGGAGCGGACGAGAGGCGACCGGCATATCGAAGGCACAAAAGAACAATGTTGGACGCTCCGAGGGCCTTCGATGTTTCTCTGTTGGGGAGAGTCGTCGTAGGATCGACGATTGCCGACCGAGGGCATGGAGAATCCAGCGAAAGAGGAGAAGCAGGTGGAAGAGGAGGAGGAGGAGGAGGAGGAGGAGGAGGAGGAGGAGGAGGAGGAGGGGGAGGAAGCAGCAGGACCTCCGAGCAGCAGCAGCAGCTGATTGCCTTTCGGCCCTGCAGCCGCACCCCCCCGCGCTTGCCCAGAGACCCCTCGCCACGTCGAGCTGATGTCGTGGACGGAGTCCACAGGTCTGCCCTAGTCAGCTACAGCGCTGGGATCAGCGCGTGCGAGAAGGGCTGGCAGTGGCAGCCGGCGCTTGCGCTGCTGAGCGAGATGTGGGAGGCGAAGCTGAAGCCCAACGTCATCAGCTACAGCGCTGGGATCAGCGCGTGCGAGATGGGCGAGCAGTGGCAGCCGGCCCTGGTGCTGCTGAGCGAGATGCGGGCGGCGAAGCTGGAGCCCGACGTCAACTCTCCTGCATGGCCAGGGGAAGCGCGAGCGGGAATCAAGCAGTGAGTGGTGAAGCGTCTTGTTTTGCCTATAGCCCTATCAAACATGTTCTAAGAACCTTTTTGTGATATCCACAAGCTGTTCTTAGAACATTTCTGGCGGACCCTGTCTTGTTTTACCACATCGGGTTCATGTTCTAAGAGCATTGTTTTCGTTCTCAGAACATTTTTGGATTCTAAGAACACTTCGTGGTAGGACTACAGGAATGCCAGGACGGTCGGCCCCTGCTCAAGGGAAGGGAACCATGTCGAGCAGCCACAATCGGCCCTCAGGGAAGGGAGCTCTTGCTCTCAGCACGTGTGGGAGGTGCCGAGAACACTCCGCGGCAGGGCTACAGGCATGCCAGGACGGTCGGCCCCTGCCCAGAGGGAAGGGAGCCACGTCGAGCAGCCACAAACATCGGCCGCGGCGGGCCTCCCTGCGCGGCCTCGGCGGCCCCCCCCCCCCCCCGGCGCCCCTGGCGCCGCCCGTCGTGCCTCTCCGCGCGGCTCGAGCACGCTCCGGGGCGCCGTCGGGGAGCGCCGAGGTCGGGCCGGGAGTCCCTGCATACAGCGCTCGTTTCTAAGTGTTCGAAAGCTCTTTGATTTTTTTTGGGGGGCCAAGATGCTTTCATTTCTAGTTGTTCCATCCTGGGCCTCTTCCTGGCCACTACGGGGCCAGGAACAGTTAGAAGCGAGCACAAGTCGAGATGAGCACGATTAGAAATGAACGACGTGTGCAGTGGGGGCGCGCATCAAGAAAGAAACCACATGCCGTTCGTCAGGGTATCCTGGATCTCTTCGCTCCGCGCGCTCCGCGGTGACTTCCCGCAGCCGCTGAATGAGCTGCTGCGTTAGGGGTGCTCCGGGTTTCCCCTCAGGTGCACCTCGCGCGCGGGTTCTCAGGGTTGGGTTTCTTGCGAGGGTTTCTTGTGGCCGCGCCCGCACTGTAGCCCCAGGACGGCCCCAGAGGCCGTCCAGACGGCTCGCGACGGCCAAGAGTCATGGATTCCTCCAATGCTGTTGCTGCCTGATTTTCAGGTCCCCGCGGTTTCGAGCCAAGAGCGGCCCAAGACGGCCCTTCCCCGAACGCTCCAGGGCCGCCCAAGAGGCTCCGGCAAGGGCCCCAAGACGGCTCAGGAGTGCTCCAAGACGGCTCCTGGAGGAGCCCAAGACGGCCCAAGAGAGCCCCAAAACGGCGCGAGAGAGCCCCTAGGAGCTCCCAGACAGGCCCCAAGAGCCGCCCAAGAGGGCTCACAGAGAACTCCGAGACGGCCCAACACTTCCAATATGGCCCCTACACGGCCCCAGACTCCGTCCAGCCAGGCACAAACGAACTCATTGATTTCCAATGGTTTTTGTACGATTTCCAATCTTCTCGCCACTTTAAGACTGGCCCAAGACGGCTGCTGGGGCGCCCCCATATGTTCCAAGGCCGTCCAAGAGGATCCGGAAAAGGCCCCACAACCACCCAGGAGGGCTTCAAGATGGCCCAGGAGGCGCCCAAGATGGCCCAATAGCCGCCCAAGACGGCCTGACGACAGCTCGAGAGGCGCCCAAGACGGCCCAAAACGTTAGACCACGTGGACGAAGTTCACGTGTTCGCCCCTGGAATCAGCGCCACAGCCACCCAGGCGGGCTCCAAGATGGCCCAGGAGGCGCTCAAGATAGCCGAAGAGGCCCCCAGGCGGCCCGATAGCCACCCGAGACAGACCCAAGGACGGCCCACGAGGCGCCCTGGGCCGGCCCCAGAGGCCTCCATGAGGCCGAAGAGACCCCCAAGCCCCCGAGCGGCTTCCAAGAGGCCCCAAGACGGCCATGCAGGCCTCCCTGAGGGCCCCAAGACGCCCCAGGACGGCTCCAAGACGGCTCAGAGTGTGCCCAAGAAGGCCCAGAAGGACCCCCAGGGGGCCCGAAGAACGGCCCAAAGAGGCTCCAAGACGGCCCGAGAGCCACCCGAGACAGCGTCAAGTCGGCTCACGAGGCGCCCAAGGCGGCCCCAGAGGCCCCCAGGATGCCGAAAAGACCCAAGAGGCCCCCGAGCGGTTTCCAGGAGGCCCCCAGAAGAGGCTCCAAAGCTGCTCTCAAGACCTTTTTTTGGGGGGGGGTCGCGGCCGCAAGCGAGGAGCGCAGGCGGCGAGCAGGGTGTCCGGGCCGGCGTTCAAGACACGCGCAGCGCACGAGAGGCGAGACGCTCGCCGCACGCCCGAAGGAGTTGTCTTCCACGCTCCGAGGGCCCTGGCAAACAGGAGCAACTCGCAAGACCCGCAGGCAAGCATCAAGCAAGCAGCACGCAAACGGCAAGACGGTGCAGGCTAGGTAAATCACGCGCGCATGGGCAATGAACCGGCAGCAAGCAACCGAGCGCAACAAGCGACAGCAGACACACACTGACATTATTGCTTTCGTGGGCAGAGCCTATGGGTCCGCCCTCGGCACTTTGCAACCCTCTAAGATCGCCCCAAGACGTCTCAAGCCAGCCCCAGGACGTCCCCAGCGACGCCCAGACGGCCCAAGAGAACCCCAATAGAGAGACCGAAGAGCGGCCCAAGGGGCCCAAGACGGCCCCAAGACTAACTGAGAGGCGCCCGAGATAGCGCCGGGCCAGCCCAAGAGACCCTCAAGAGGCAAACATAATCCTCCAGAGGCCCTGGATGCGTGTGCTTTTGGAAGCGTCGTCGTAGAAGCAATGCTTGGCACGATGGAGTATCGAGGGAGAGAAGGGTGGAGGGACTGAAAAAAAGAGGATCCAGCAGCAGGGAACAGTAGCAACGGCGAGCAGCAGCTGCAGGGGCACAGCGCGTTGACATCACCAGCGCCAAGCAGCATCATGCAGCAAGCAGCAGCAGGCAGGCGGCAACATCCACCACCAGGCAAAAGCTAGCACACGCGCCAGTCCGTAGCAAGCAGCTGCCGCAGGCGGCAGGAGAAGAAAGACCAAACTCAGGAGGGGACAAAAACACTCAGACACAATGAATCGTCGATTCGTCAGAAAATATGGAAAAAATATGGGAAGTGGGGGGAAAGACGAGAACCCCCAAAATATGGGAAGATATGGGGAATCTTTTGATTTGTGTGTATCTATGTGTGTGTCCTGGGGCCCCTTCACAAACGAAAGGACGGAAATTGTTACAAGCAGCACTCGGCAACATCAAGCAGCTGTAACAAAAATCACCAGGCAGGTGCCAGCACGCCTGCCCAGACACCGCTCGCCACCGGGAGCGGATGTCGTGGACAAGGTCTGGACCTCAACAGTGTGTGCTTGGTGATTTCGTGGCCGTTTTCGTTTCGACTTCGTTTTGCAGCAACGGCGGATTGGAGACAAAAGCGAGGGCACACGAAAACAAACCGAAGACGAAGAACGCCGTTTAGGTTCAGCCCTGTCGTGGACGTGGTCCACGGGTCAGCCCTAGTCAGCTACAGCGCTGGGATCAGCGCGTGCGAAGGGCGAGCAGTAGCAGCGGGCGCCCCTCTTGCGAGCCTCCCCGGTTGTCCCCGCGGCTTTCCCCGAGGGCCTCCCGAGCCCTTCCTCAGGCGCCCCTGAGACGCTTCAGATGGGCTCAGACTTTGGCGCGCATCCCCAAGAGATTTCAAAACTGCCCCCCAGCAGGAGGGAGGCGCACGAACCGTGTGCCAGGGCCAAGCTGCTGGAGCGCTGCAAGAGCTCGGACACGACGGCGCGGTCTGGCCGCCGCCGCCCCGGCCGCCGCCGTGCTTCTGGGCGTTCGACGAAATCTTCTCCGTTCCTTCGAGAGCCATTCCAGAAAGATGTCGTTCGGAGCGTGAATTACCTACCCCGCTTTCGCTTCCAGGCAAAACCAAGTCATACTACGCGCCTCCTCGTCAAGCGGCCTGAGCAGTACAGGCCGTAGTCTGGCATCGTTTGGTATCTCTTGGAAGCGAGGGTGGTCAAAAGCGAGGTAGGTTTGTTTTCCCCCTAGTTGTGGACGGAGTCCACAGGTCAGCCCTAGTCTCTCCTACAATGGTTGGCCCAGCGCTCGCGGAGGCGCCGATCGGTGGCAGCGGACTGGCCCCCTCCGGCAGCCCCTGCGAGCCCCAGCAGGCCTCGGCGCGCTTCCACCATTGCCCAGGAGTGTTCCGAGACGCGCCAGGAGGCCCCCGAGAGTGCCCCCAGACGGCCGGAGGCGGTCCAGGAGGCTTCCAAAACGCTTCAAGTAGGCGCCACGACGAGCCCCCAAAGAGCCCGAACATCGAAAAACCGTCCCATTCCCGGGGGAAAGCGTGAATTCTGGCAGTTCCCGAGCTTGCCCTCTTCTCCGCGTCCAAGACGGCCAGGGCGGCTCCCGAGGCGCCCCCTCGCGGCCCGCGGGGTGCCCAAGACAGCCTCAAGAGCGGCCCAAGGCGACCCCCAGACGGTGCTCCAGAGACGTCCAAGGTGGCTCCAGGCAGCCCCCAGACGGCCCCGACAACGCTCCGGACGGCCTCCAGACGGCCCAAGAGGCTTCCAAGACGCTCCAAGTGGGCTCCACGACGACCCCCAAGAGAGCCCGAGCACAATAAAAAGCGTGCAAGTCCTCTGTTGGGGGAGACATGCATGTTGGCAATTCTCGGGCTTGCCCTCTTCATAGCGTCCAAGACGGCCATACAAGGGCCCCAGATGGCCCCAGGATGGCTCCTGAGGCGCCCCTGACGGCCCACGGGGTAGACAGCTTCAAGAGCGGTCCAGGATGGCCCTAGACGACCCCCAGACGGTGCCCAGACTGCTCCAGAGATGCCCAAGACGGCCCCAGAACCCGCAGACGGCCCCCGGACCGCCTCAACACGGCCCAAGAGGCACCCGAGGCAGCCCAAGAGGGCCCCAGGAGGCTTCCAGGAGGCCGAAAAGAAGCGCCGAAAGGCTCCTAAACGACCCCCAGAGGCCCCATGATCACGGCCCAAGAAGCACCGAAGACGGCACCAACGGCAGCCAAAGACGGCTTCAGACGGCCACGGACGGCCCCAAAACGCCTCCCAGCGCACCATAGGGGCTCCGATGCTTCCTTGGCGCTCCCCGCCGGATTCGGCCCAAAATCCCTCACCCTTCTTGTCTGTCGGCCTGGAGCCCCCTCTGTGGCCTCTTGGGGCCATGCCGCGTTTCGCCCTCCTGGTGGCAGGATCGCCGCGGCCGACCGCGGCAGTGCGCGCCGCAGCCGCGTCGGGCGGGATCCTCGGGTCGGCGGCGCGGGGGCCCAGGATCGGTCCCGCCGACTCGGGGCTGGCGGGCGGCCACTGTGGAGCCATCTGGGAGGCGTGCTGGTGATCCCGGGGCCCCTCAGGGGGGCCCCGAGGCGGACCCGAGACGGCCCGGGGGCCCCCCAAGGGCGGCCCAAGATTGTCCCAGAGGGCCTCCGAGACGGTCCCAGAGCGCTCGCAGACGCCCAATATGGCCTTCAGACGGCCCAAGGGGCTCCCAAAACGCTCCAAGTGGGCTCCAAAAAGAGTCCCGAGAGGGCCCGCGCAAGCAAAACTCGTCCCAATCCCTAGGACAAAGGTACATTTTCGCAATTCCCATGCTTTTCATATTCAAAGCGTCGAAGAGGACAATTCACGCCCCCAAGATCGCCCCAGGACGCCTCAGGAGCGCCCCATGAGGGCCCCAAGACGGCCCAAGACGGCCCCAGGACCGCCCAAGACGGCCCCAGGAGTGCACCTGAGGCTCCCACGACGGCCCAAGAGTCACACAAGGCAGCCCGACGGCTCAAGACGGCCCCAAGACGGCCCCAAGCCGGCCCCAGAGGCGTCCAAGACAGCTTCAGACAGCCCCAAGACGGCGCACGGGGCACCCAAGCCCCAAGAGGCCCCCAGGAGGCCGCAAGACAGTCCAAGGGGGCCCCAGAAGGCCCCCAGAAGGTTGAAAAGACACCCCGACAGGCCCACAAACGGTTCCCAAGGAGAAGGAAGCGCCCGACAACAGTGGCCGCATAGGGAGCGCTGCTCTCTTCCGTGGGTGCGGGCGCGAGCGAAAGAGCGCCGACGAATGAACAGCAACATGGGCGCTACTTCTCTTTACCATTGCCTCCCAGCTCCAGGGCGCCCTGCGCCGCTGCCGCCCAAGTGGGGCGAGATACGCCAGAGGCCAGCAGGGAGCACAGTCCCCACCACAGTCTGATCCCAGAGTGGCGCAGAGACGGCACCCAAAAGCCTGCGCGCCCACAGTGAGCCCCCATGCGCAGTCCACCGTGCGACATTCCGAGTGTCCTGTGGCAGCATCGATCTCTTCCGTGGGTACGAAGCAGACAGCAGCAGCGGCGGCACACAGCAGCAGCAAGCAGCGGCAGGTAGCGGGTAGAAGCACGCACCAAGCGGAATTGGCCATCAGCAACAACTTGCAGCCATAAGCAGCAAGAACACGCAGCAGCGGCCTCAAGCACTACCAACAGTACGCAGAAACGGCGGCAAGCAGCAGCATGCTGTAGCATGCGAAGAATGCGAGGTCGGGCCCCGCAATCAGATGCCAGTTTGCGCAGATTTCGTGGACGGGATCCGCGGGTCAGTCCTACCGACGTCGCCAGCCTCCTTCCAGTGCCCACAACCCACGACGACGACGACCACCACCACCAACACCACGACAACGACGCCGACGACGACGACGGGTACGGCGGTGGCCTCGCGGCAGCGACGGCAACGACGCCGACGATGACGGCGACGACGGCGGCCCCGTGACGGCAAAGCAACTAAAGCGCTGCTAGAGCTCGGACACGAAGGCGCCCCCGGCCGCCCCCGTGCTTATAGGTTTTCGACAACATCTTCTCCGTTCCTCCGAGAACCATTCCAGAAATATGTCGTGGACGGAGTCCACGGGTCAGCCCCAGTCAGCTACAACGCTGTGACCAGCGCGTGTGAGAAAGGCGACCAGTGGCATTGGGCGCTTGCGCTGCTGAGCGAGATGTGGGAGGCGAACTTGGAGCCCGACGACATCAGTTACAGCGCTGGGATCAGCGCGTGCGAGAAAGGCGGACAATGGCAGCGGGCTCTGTCGCTGCTCAGCGAGATGTGGGAAGCTAAGCTGGTGCCCAACGCCATGAGCTGCAGCGCTGGGATTCTGGCTTGCGATAGAAGCGGACAAGGGCAACGGGCGATTTGGTTGCTCAAGGATTTGCAGGCTCAATTCCAATCATGGGGTCAACGAGTGCGGGGAAGGTAACTAGCCGCAGCATGCATTAGGGAAATTCGTGAAATCGAAGATGGTGCCCCAAGTCATCAACGACAACGCTAGCACGAGCGCGAGCGAGAATGGTCGAAGCTGGCAGCGGGCACTGTTGCTGCTCAGCGAGGGGGGATGCGAGGTTGGAGCCGACATCACTGGCTACAACTTTGGAACTGGAGCGTGTGCGAGAAGGCTGAACGAGCTCACCACATCGAGGTCGTCCTCGGGAATGCGCGTTAGTGAAGACGCGACCTGGACCTCACCAGCGGCTGAGCTGGAGTCCGATGCCATCTGTGCTGAAATGCTGGGCGGAGCGCGTGCGAAAGCGGCCAACACTGCGTGGCCCCCCCGTCCGCGCTCACGGCCCCCGGCCGCGCATTCGGCGGTTCGGGGCTGCTCCTGAGCGCTCCGATGAGCCCCAAGACGGCCCAAGAGAGCTCCAGGGCGGCCCAAGCGCCACTTTGGGCGGCCCGAGCTGGCATCCCCAGGGGGCCCCAGCAGCGCCCAGGTCGCTCTCGAAAGCTCCGAGAAGGCCCCTGGACAGGCCTCGTCGGGAGTAAATGGACGACTTCCCATGGTTTCTCCATGGTTTCCGTGTTCACCCTTTCCTTGCTTCCCGCACGCCCGAGACGTCCCAGGAAGCCCCCGGTCGTTCCCCAAGACGGTCCAGGAGGCCCCGCCAAGAGCCCCGAGAGAGGCCCTGAGATTGCCCCAGGGAGGCCGCGCTTCTGGTCGTTCCACGACGGCTCCAGGGGGCCCTCCGAGGGCCCTCAAGACGTCATCAGACTGCCCCAGGACAGCTCCGATACGCTCAAGAGTGCGGCAGGACGGGCCAAGAGGACACCCGAAAAGCTCCTCATGGCGGCTCCAGTGGGCCTGAAGACCAGCCGGGAGCCTCCAGAGAGGCCCACGAGGGCCCCGATGCCGATGAATGGCCCCACGAGGCCGAACAGTAAGCAAAAACCATAAAGTTGTCAAGGTTTGTGATATTCTCCCCATGACGGGCCCAGACGGGCTTCAGTCTTTTCAAGATCGCCCCAAGTTGGCCCGCGAGGCCCCGACGAGCCCACCAAGATTGGTCAAGAGGACCCGACGACAGCCAGAACAGCCCCAGACAGCCTAACGGAGCTTCAGGTGCCCCCCCAAGACAGCCCCAAGAGGCTCCCAGGAAGTGCACAAGAGGGCCCAAAGCGGGCTCCCAGACTACCCCAGACCCCCAATATGGCCCCAGGATGCCCCGAGACGGCCCAAGAAGGCCCCACACTTGCCCAAGAGGGCCCTCAAAGCTGTTGAAGAAGTACCGCTCCGACAGGCTCTACAGCCTCCCAAAAGACTCCGACAATCGCCAAGGAGATCTCTCAAGAGCCTCCAGCCTCAGCACCCGTCGCCGTTTCTAGATTCCCAGACGCTCCAATCACAGTCCCTGACCCCACTCACGCCTCAGACCACCCCTCGATGCCCCACAGCCCCCCCAAGAGACTCCGATTGTTGCCAATGAGCTCCCAGGAGAGCCTCAGGTCCCGGCACCCTTTGCCGCTTCTACCGAACACCCGTAGTCCAAAGAAAACCTCTAACCCCAGAGAACGCCCCAGCCAGGGAGCCCGACGTCATTTGTACTACAATTCTGGGCGTTGCGCGTGCGAAAGGGGGGAAAAGGTCACGAGATACCCCTGAGCGCCCGGAGCGCCCCGCCGCTCTCGGACGGCTCCAGAAAGCCCCCAGGTGACTCCAAGACGGCCTCGGGCAGCCCCTCTGCCGCTCCGAGACGCTCGGGATGGCGGGAGGACGTCCCAGGAGAACCCGAACAGAGTTCCTATGAAAGCCCAAGACGGCCCGACGACGGGCCACATGCTTCCGTAGCTTGCCCAACCAGAGCCCGATGATGGTCCCTGGGGGCCAGAACTCGTTGCTAATCGTGAGGTGTTTGAGGGGTGTCCGTGTTCTCGCCATTTCAGGCCAAGAATGACCCCAGACGGCTTCAAGGCCATCCCAGATCGGCTCAAGACGGGCCAGGAGGCCCCGCCAAGTGCACCCAAACGGCCCAAGCGAGCCCGAAGATTGCCCAGGAGAAGCCCAACACAACCTCATAGAGCTCCCAGTGGCCCCTAGGCAGCCCCAAGAGGGCCCTAGGAGCTACCCAACAGGCACCAAACTGAGCTCCAAGGCGGCCCGAGATCCCCTGCATGGCCCCAGGACGGCCCAAGAGGCTTCTTAGACTTCCTACAAAGCCCCGATATGGGCCCAGAGAGCCCCTTGAGGCCTTGAGGCTCTGGAGACACCCCCACGAGGGCTAGAAGAGGGGCCGAAGGGAGCCCAGACGACGCCCTTCCCGCAGCACCCAATGGGCCAAGAGACCATTCCCACATGCCCCAGAGTTTCCCAAGAGACTCCATGGTTCCCAGGGAGCTCCCAAGGAGAGTCCCTCGAGCCACGGCACCTTTTCGACATCTCTCTAACCCCAAACGACCCCAAGAAAGCCCTTGACCCCCAAGGCAGGCCCCAGACCACTCCGAGATGCCCCAGGTCATCCCAGGAGACTCCGATAGTCCCCACAGAGCTCCCAAGAGCGGTCCTAGGGCCACTCTGAGATTCCCCAGAGTTGCCCACACGACTCCGACGCTTGCCGACAGACTCCGACAGTTCCCACGGAGCTCCCAAGGGCGGTCACAGGAAGAGACCCCCATAGTTCTCACGGAGCTCCCACGAGCGATCCAAGGACCACTCCGGGATGGCCCAGAGTTGCCCTCAAGACCTCCCCCCTCACGGCCGATTGAGGGTGATAGGGGGGACCTTCTCCTCTGTTCTTTTCCTCCTTCCCTCATCGAGGTTCTGTCCGCTCTGGGGCCTCCACTCCGCTTGTTGGGGGTGACAGGGGGGACGTGCAGCCACTTCGGTCGCTCCCCATCTACGTCCGATGAGGAGGGACAGGGGGACACTGCGGCTGCGGGGACCAGAGCATCTCGTCCCCCCATTCACGGCAGGGCAGAGCCCTCGGTGGCTCCCAAGACAGCCCCGAAAACACGAGATCCCTCCCTAGACCTTAAACGGCCCAAGACGGCCCCGGAACGGGTGGGGAGGCGGCTGGGTCGGCCCAAGAGGCACCCAAGACAGCCCCAAGAGGCCCCAAACAATAGCCCAAGATGGCTCTAAGGCGGCTCAGAGACGCTCAAGAGAGCGCCCGGACGCCCCCACAGGACCCCAAGCGAGCCCCAGGACGGCCCCAGAGGCCTCCAGGGCAGGCCAGGAGGCTTCCGAGACGGCCCAGGATGACCCCCAGGATAGTGCCAAGATGCAAAAATCGTCACATTCCCGACGGAAAGCGTATCTAGGTACTATGTTCCTGTTGTCCGTTTGCACATTCTCCACGGCGGCTGTACAGGCCCCCAAGATGGCCCCAAACGCCTCCAGACGCCTCCAGGAGGGCCCAAAAACTGCCCAAGACGGCTCCAGAGGCCCGAGACGGCCGAAGAGGCACCCAAGACAGCCCCAAGTGCGCCCAATAACGGCCCAAGATAGCCCCAAGGCAGCCCCAAGATGGCCCGAGAGGCGCCCCGGACGGCTCCACATCGCCCCAAGACGGCCCAAGAGGCACTCCAGACGGCCCAAAAGGACACCGAGAGACCCCCAGGAGGACGAAAAGAGGCCCCCACACGGCCCCCAAGAGGCCTTGGATGCTTGTCTCTTGGGGAGCGTCGACGACTGACGATCGAAGATCGACGGGATCAAGGATCGAGTGGACGAGGAGGAGGACGCCCACAATTGCCCCACAAGCCGACAGGAGCCACCGAGATGTCCAGAGAATGACCCGAAGGAGGCCCCAGACATACCGAGACGGCTCCGAACGAAGATCGACGGGATGAAGGATCCGGAGGAGGACGAGGAGGGCGCCAAAAATGGCCCACAAGCCGAACTGAGCCACAGAGATGTCCCGAGCATGCCCCGAAGAAGCCCAGACACCCCGAGACCGCTCCTAACGAGCCGCCCAAGTAAACCAAACGGACAGTTACTCCAGCGTCGTATCGGCGATCCTTACGTGCACCGGGCGCCCGAGCGGCCCCAGTGCGGAGTGGGCGTCTGAGCGGCCCTGGTGCGGCGGGCAGACTCCGCGGCCGGAAGGCCGCGGGTCAGCCCTAGTCAGCTACAGCGCTGGGAGCAGCCCGTGCGAGGAGGGCGCACACTGGCCGCCAGTTGTTGTGGCGCTGCCGAGGGAGATGTGGGAGGTGAAGCTTGGGCCCGACGTCATATCTCTGGCGTTCTCTTTGTGGGACGCTGAGCAGCTGCAGCGGTCTGTTTAGATGCTGGACCGCGGAGACGAAGACAGAATAGCTGAAGAAGCGTGCGTCCGAGTTGTTGCCCAAGCTCTCGGAGGAGCAGAAGCTGCGGGAGACGGCAAGAAGCGACGCATCTGCCGCGAAACTCCTGCTGACCTTGACATCCGCGCCCACGTGGCACGTGGCAGGGCGAGCCGACGCGTCCTGGCGGCCCTTGAGCCCCGTGCCCGGAAGGAGCTCATCCCGTTTAGCGCTTTGCTCCCGCTTCGCCAAGAGATGGCGCACCTTGAGAATCAGGGGACCTCCTCCTCCTCCTCCTCTTCCGCTTCCCCCTCTCCTCCTCCTCCTCCTCGTCCTCCTCCTCCTCCTCCTCCTCCTCCTCCTCCTCCTCCTCCTCCTCTCCCACTCTGGGGTCAGGTTTTGGTGGAGCTGCCTTGGCATCGGCAACGCTTTGGGTCTGGCCCGAATGTCGGTCGCTGGCCAACTCAGCTCGCCTTCCTGAGATCCGCCCCGCGAAACGCAGGTCCAGAAACAAGATCCTGCTGCCCCCCTCCGCTGCCTCTCCTTCGATTCTCGACCTCCCCTCTCCTGCGCTGCTCGTCGCCATCGAGCTCCTTCAGCAAGATGCCCGCCCGAAGCAGGAGCAACGGAAGTGGGCACAGCGCGCTGGCCCGCCCCCAGTTAGCGTCCTGGCCTCCCGCCGAGCCACTGTCCGCCTCCCCGTCGTCCTCCGCCGCCTTCGTGCGAGACTCGTACGGCCGCCCTCGCCGAGCGAGTTCGCCAGAGGGAAGCGGCTGACATGTGGTCTTAAGTCGGGCCTGTCCCTCTCTACAGGAGGAATATCCCAAAGTAGTCCAGAAATATTCCTGGCACGTTTCTGTGAGCATGTTTAGAGTATGGTGGAGTACTCCTTGGATTGCTTCTCAAAAACGAAATCCTGCAACATCCCCCTGTAGGGGGACACGCCCGGCTCAATGCTGACATGCAGTCCCCTCCTCTGGCTGGCCGAGGAGCCGCACGCTGTGCCTGGGAGAGGCACGCGCCTGGGCGGTCACCGCTGCGGGCGGCACTTGGGCGGAAGCCGCCGCCCTCTGCAGAGCTTCAGCATTAGGCCCCCCCCCCATCCGCACGGCGCCGCGTGTGGCCGAAATGTGCCGGAGACCTCCCGCCCTAGAGGCCTCGGGAGCCTTGAGATGGGGGTCAATGCAAACGGGGGTCAGCCAGGGCGACAGATCCTGCAGGATCCTGCGAAGACCCCCTCTGGCTGACCCGGGTTAGCGAGCCGCTCGTGGCCGCGAGGCGGCCGCGCATATTGGCTGACCCGGGTTTGCGAAGACTTGCGTTGCAGTTTTTTGTTCCTGCATTGCAGTTTTTGGTTTCCCGCTGACCCGGGTCTGGATTGACCCGGGTCAGAAGATCCCCGGAGGCCACCCAGATGGGGCCCGAGCAGATTGAGTCCGAGGATCGCGCCGCATCGCCGATGCTTCGGCGATGCATCGGCGACGTCGGCGATGTATCGGCGCCATCGGCGCCATCGGCGCGGGGAAACTGTGGAGCCCGTGTGCCGCAGCGGCGCGCCCTGGAGGACCTGGCGGCCGATCTCCTGCTCGGTGCCGCGAGCGGCCTGTGCTCCCCGGAGGCCCAGGCCCTGCAGGAGGCGGACCTCCCCGACCTCCACGCAAGCCTTACGTTGTTCCCATCCTATTTGGGGACCACATCCCATGAATAACCCGGAAGAGTGTCGAAAGAGTGTCGAGATAGTGTCGGACGAGTGTCTCCCAGGGCCCGACACGCGAAAATCATAGAGTTTCGTTTTTTTGTGGGGCTCGAAATTATCTGTGGTAATCAAAGCTAAGGTAGGTTGGAACATCATAACACAAGCCCTTTTTTCTCTTATACCCGAGCAGCCCGGGGGCACAGCGGCAGGGAGGGAGCCGCCCTTGGATCTTGGAGGGGTGCTGCCGCTGTCGATCACCTGCGGGCGCCCTCCGGTGCTCGGCGGAGCAGGGGCTGGAGCCGCTGACCGCCAGCTCGCCGCGCGGCTTCTCGCCGGAGGGCCCCATGATCAGCAGCACGATTGACACCGAGGAATGCATGGTCAAGACGGGACTGGAGTCGGAGTGGGGGCTAGCCTTGTTTTTCGACTTGGCGGCGGCTTTCCCGTCCGTCGAGCAGCAGGTTGTGCTGCACTTCTTCTGCAGCCTGGGTTGGCCGGACTGGCTTCTCTCCTGCATAGTGAGCTTTTTCCGGGAGAACACGTGCGAGGTCTTCCTTGGTGGCACCCGTTTTCCGGGCTTCCCCCTGGCGCGCGGAATCCGGCATGGGTGCCCCTTCTCCCCGTTGCTTCCCGCGGCGTGCTCCGACCTCCTCTTGCGAAAGCTGGCCTGGGACTTTCCCCCTTTCTGTTCAGAGGGCGTTCGCGGACGAGTTTGCCATGGTGCTCGCGCAGACCAGGCTGGAGTTGGGAAGGCTGTAGCTCGTCTTCGACGAGTTCGTGCGCCTGTCCTGGCTCACCCTGAACGTGTCCAAGAAAGTGGCCGTCCGAACCGACCCGATCGACCACGAGCGGTCGCGCGCCCTCCTGTCGTCTACAGCCCCCAGCTGGGTGAAGCATGCGGACGCGGCCAAGCACTTGGGAATCGATCTGGGCATAGGGAAGGGTATCAGATCCTGGGGCGAGCCCCGCGTCAAGTTTTTGCGCGCGTTGCCCGGGGGGGGACGCGCTGGCGCTGGCGTTTTGCTTTAGGCGCAGGCGTGCAACGCATACGTCGCCTCGGTCATGTTTTTCTTAGGTCAGCTGGAGCCCCCGCCCGACGACACCCTGGATTGCGAAGTCCGAGCCTGCCAGGAGCTCTTCCCGGGGCCGCGGGGCTGGGCGCCCATGGACGTGCTGAAGGACATGAAAGGGGGTGGGTTTCCCGGTCGAGCTCCCCGATCCGTCCTTGACGATGGTCGCGGCGAAGGCCAGGGTTAACCAGCTGGGAGGTAGGCGGCGCATTGCGGATCAGGGAGCGGAGCGTTGACCTGCTGACCTACGCGCACCATTACGGCCACCTGGCTGCGCAACAGGATCAATGAGTCCATTATTTCGGCCCTTGCCGCTGCTACGTCCGCGGCGCGCGCAGTGCGCGACAGGGCGGCGGCGCAGGGCGGGGTGGCAGAAACATGCAGTGCCCCAGCTCCGTCTTGCCGGGCTTGCTCCTCGCCTCGGACTGGTTCCTGAATATGGCAGATGCCATCGTGCAGTGGCCCTCCAGTGACAGCTTCCTACCAGGTGCGCAATGCATATCGGCATGGTCACCACGAGGCCGAAGGCATTGCAAGCGCTGATCGTGAGTGCATGCGCGAAGGAATCCGGGCACGGAACATCTGCTTGAAGAAAGTGGGGTTCTGATGTTCGTTGGTTTCCTCTCTTTTTCCCCCTTCCGTCTGCACGTTGGAATGTTGGTGTAATCCTTTGATGTTCGCTTCTGTGCAAAGTCATATTGAGGCTCTCCCTCACTTGCCGCTGCCCCGCTCGGGCACGGCCAGGGGCGTTTGTCGTCTCCTCGTTTCCTTGCTTTGCTCGTCCCGCCCCTCTTCCCCTCTTCGCCTCCCCGCTCGTTTTGTTTCCTTCCCCTTCTCCTCTGGTTGCGGGTGTTTCCCTTGCGTTTGGGATGTTGCTGTAATCGAATGGCTTTCGGCCCATCCGCCACCGTGCCTCGCCTGGTCGTCAGAGTCCAAAGGGATGCTTCTTGGGGTCTCCTCGGATCGCTTTCGGGGGCCCATTGGGGAGCAGTTGTGGGGCCTCGCCTTGAGGGGGTTTCCCAGGAGCCTCCCGGAGGCGTCTGGGGGTTTTTGGGGGTCTCTTCTGGGGCAGTCTTCGGGGCTTATCTTCGGTGGGAAGGGGCCGAAATCTAGGTTCCCGGTCCAAGTCTTGGGCCACTCCAGAGATTTTCTTGGATTCTTCGTGGCCCCTCTGGGGGGCTTCCTGGGCCGTTCGTGAGCCATCCCAGGCCGTATGGGGGGCCCTCTTGGGAGCCTTTTCGGCCGTTCAGGGGGAGTTTTGTGGGCCCCTTTGGACCGTCTTAGTACGTTCGGAATCCGAAAGTAGGGAAAACCGAGTAAATGTTGTTCAACACCGAATGGAAACCGATGGGTTTGGATGCTTGGGAGCCTTTTGAGGTCCTCCTGGGTTGTGGAAGATGATCAATGGAATAAAAACTGTGTTAAACTTGTTTAAAACATGTAGAAATCAGGTTTGCAACATTTTCAGGGTACTTACCCGCATTTCAAGCACATTTTCAATTCGATGATAGGACCGCTAGAGTGTCCATTGTCGTGGCATTCGCACTTATTGGGACACTTTGGGCGCGTCTTGGGGCAACGTTGGGCCGTCTTGAGGCCATCGTGGGCAGACTGGGGCCTCGTGGGCCGTGCAGAGGCGTTCCTTGACCGTCTTGGGCGCCTGAGGGGCAGCTCCGCGAAGCTTCGTGGATCGTTTGGGGCGTCGCAACCGCCCTGGAGGCCCATGCGGAACACCCCTGGGGCGCCCAATAGCGCCCACGAGCGCCCGCAAGCGCCTGGGAAATTGGGGGTCTGGGCCCTGAACAAATGACAATCCTAGCTGCAACAGCAGTAGCACAGCTGGGAGCCTTGGGGCACTCCACTTCGTGCCAGAGGCACGGGGGATGTTGTTGAAATTTCAACCGCTGGTCATTCTCAGCCGCTTATCGCGCCGCGGAGTGCATCGGTTCCTCGAGGGATGGGCTTCCAGGTGGAAGTTTTGATCCCCCCCTCCCTGGACAGCATGCGCATCTCGCTGCAGGTTCCTGCACGAGCCACGGTTTTACGCGTTGGCTCGCCTATTGGAAGGTGGGCCGCCTCCGTGTGTTTGCAGGATTTGTTTTGCGCAGCTCGCCAGCACGTGGTCACTCGTGGTTCATGTTCGCTAGTGTCGAAAAAACAGTCTCCCCCGTTCAAGATTTCCTCCAGGTTCAGGCTGCAGGAGCCCAAACGTGACGACAGGTACAAGGTTTGGATGACCCCGTTCGGAGTCGAACCTCCCATGGGGATGGGGCTCCCGCTCGAGACTTCCTCGCTGTTCACTCACGGGCGAGGCTCCCTCTCGAGATTGAAGATGCATGTGTGAGTGTGTGCGTGAGTTCCTGAGTGTGTGCGCGACGACGACGATGATGATGGTGTTGATGTTGGTGCTGATGCTGTTGAAGATAGTTAATGGTGATGATGACGATGATTATGATGACGATGCTGATGATTCCGGTGAAGATGACGGTGACGATGGCGCTGGCGATGATGCTGATGCTCAGGATAATGATGATGATGATGATGATGATGATGATGATGATGATGATGATGATGATGATGCGGATGATGATCATGATGATCATGATGATGACTATGATGATGACGATGGCAATCGATGGTTGCGAATGATGGTAACGACGATGGTGATAGTGATGATGATACGTAAACGTGACGATGATGGTGATGATGACGACGATGATGATGAAGATGATGATGATGATGATGCTGATGATGATTGGCTGGAGGGCTAAGCGTGAAACCACTAAGTGGTGATGATGGTTGATGGTCATGACGGGATGATAGTAGTGATGCTTGATAAGAACTGTGAGATGATGGCGACTATGGTGGTGATCATGGCGATGCTGATAACATGACTGTGCTGATGATGGGCTGATGATGAAAACGATGGGATGATGATGCTGCCGATAAAGATGACGGTGACACTGGCGATGGCGATGTTGATGTTGATTATGAATATGAGTATTACTATGATGATGGCGATGGTAATGATGATGATGGTGGTGGTGATGAAGATGACGATGGTGGTGGTGATGATGATATGAAAATGTGGGGACTGTTCCCGTCTTGTGTTCCTGCGCGGAGGGGGGGGCAGGACAAACAAGACATCCACCTAGGATGCTGGGAATATGGACCCCACTCCAGATGTGGGGCATGCGCTGCAATGTATATATGCCACAACCTCGATTGCACAACATATCGTGCGCATCATAGATTGCATCACCGATGTTCCACTGCATACAGTGCTCCACATACAGCGCACACGATATATTACTATAAGCACACTGTTTGTGATCCACGCTGGCAAACTTTTGTCAAAAGCAAGGCCTGTACGGGCCTGAGGGGGGTAGACTTGGACTTCGGGCGGGAGGTTGTATTGCAGCCTCGTTGATGCATCTTGGGTGTACTCTGGTTTCCCTTTTCTGCCTGTCGCCAGCCCCCTCCCCCTCCTCCTCCCCTTCCTCCTCCTCCTCCTCGTCCTCCTGCTTCCCCTTTCCCTCCTCCCCCTCTCGCTCTCCCCGCACCCCTCCCTCTTCTCCTCCGCCTCCCCCATCCTCCTCCTCCCTCCTCCCTCCACCCTCCTTCTCCTCCTCCCCCTCCTCCCTCCTTCCTCCTCCCTTCTTCCTCCTCCCTCCTCCCTCCTCCCTCCTCCCTCCTCCTCCCTCCTCCTCCTCCTCCTCCTCCTCCTCCTCCTCCTCCTCCTCCTCCTCCCTCCTCCTCCTCCCTCCTCCCTCCTCCTCCCTACTCCCTCCTCCCTCCTCCTCCCTCCTCCCTCCGCCTCCTCCTCCCTCTTCCTCTCTGGAGGCAGTGCCCTCCCCCGCTCAAGGTCGCCGACGCTGCCAGAGCGGGCCCCGCCTCGCGAGCGGCGCCCCCGGCCGTCAGTGGCGCGGCGGTGCTGGCCAGCGGGCTCGGCTCCAGCCGTGCGGCCTCGGCGCCGAGGGGGCGCGCGGGCCGCACCGGGGCCCCTGGGGCCGAGCGCAGAGGCTCGCGACCGGAGCCACCGTGGAGAAGAGGCGAGGAACGAACGAAAGGCACAAAGATACGGCAAGGTCGCCGAAGGAAGGCCCAGTTCGAGGTCGGCAGGGGCTCGCTGATGCCTTGGGTGCATGTGCGTGCGTTCCGCAGCTCCTTGGTGGTCGCGGGCCCCTTCGTTGCTCCTTCGGATGTTGTGGCCAATCCTTCGGGTTTCGCGGGTCGGCTTATCATGGGCCTGTTTTCCACCCCCACCATAAGATGGAGGCCGGAAGGAGGTGGAGGAGGAGGAGGAGGACCCCCTCCCCCTCCTACTCATAGTGGTGGTGGTGGTGGAAAACACGCCCACCGATTCAGGATGTCGCGTTCCTGGAGTCGGCAGCCCGGAATCTCCTGAAGAATGTTGGCTTAGCGTGTCGCGCCGCCAGGTCTGGCCCACCACCCCGCCTCGGCGCGACGCGCCGGCCGCTCCTGGGCCCGCACGCGTCCGCGTGCCGAGCCGAATCCCAGCCTCCCGCCCCGCGGAGCGGAGCGGAGCGACACGCCACTCGCTGGCAGGGCGTATGGCGTGTCGAGGGGGAACGTGCTTGACCTTGAGCCGTGGATAGCATGTCGGGATAGCTTGCGACGCGCCATCCCAGAGTTCTTGACCGCGAGCCGCAAGCACAGCACGTCGGGGTGTCTTGGGCAGGATTTCCCCGCGGGCTCCTCGCGGACTTGTTGGGGGGCTCTGGCATGACATGGAGGTCCATGCGGGCATCTGGGATCGTTTGTGGGGCCCCCCAGGCGGCGCCTCTGGCGCCGATGCAAGAAGCCCGCGCAGACCGCCGACACGTCATGTTCATGTCATTACTTGCGCCTCCAAAAACGGTTCCTGTCCCCGACTCGGCGCACAATCGAAACGACAATAGTCTGGGGACGATGTTGTTCACATGTTTGAGTATTTTTATTGCATGTTTGATTATTTTTAATGTTTCATCCAAAATCGGCCTGTCGGGGGACAGGCTCGACTTAAAGTTGGTGGCGAAGAGCGGCAGCAGCTCCTGCCCGGTTTCAGCAGGTCTCGCAGTCGGTGTAGCCTCGGACGTTGTCCATGCGAGGCAGGAAGGCGCCTGCCCAAGAGCGACCGATGCCGGCATTGCACAGGATGGGCGGTTGGGCACTGTGCCCAGCTCTTGTCCGTAGCCATGCCGTGCGTGGCAGCTGACCTCCTCGCAGCACGTGTGTTGTTGCTGTTGTTGTTCTGCATCCCTCGGCAGCTAATGATGGGAGCCTGGCATGCCCTCTGAATCTTGTCTTTGGCGTCGACTAGCGTCGATTAGCGTCTAGAGTCGATGAGATCGCGCCGATTTGTCGGCTAGCGTCGACTAGCGTCGATTTGGCGTCAACTAGCGTCGATGAGCGTCGATTCGCAAGAGACGACAAGACGGTATGGGAGGCTCCCATGAGTTGCCACCGACGCATCCACCCTGGAGTCTTGGGCCACACAACGCGCTCCAGGACAGGTCGCGGGGGCTATGTGTTGGGAGGGGGCTCCAGGGCACCTCTGTAGGCGTTCGTGAAAGTATCACCACTGCTCGAGCCCCGGCAAGACATCGGGTCCGAGGGATCCGTCATTCTAGATCTTGGGTGTCCGGTCGCCATGCCGACATATTCGTTCGGGGTCGGATGTTTGCACATCGTCCTGGATGTCGGATCGGAGATCCCCTCTGAGATCCAGACGGCGGGTGTTTTGCCACGAGTTCGGCCCCCCCATGGGGCCATCAAAACTCAACCCGAGGCGAAGAGCCAGTTCCCCGGGGGGGCCGAGAGCCTCTGGGGCCCTCCCTAAGGGCTTGTCGACTTTTCGCCAATCGACTTGTGAGAATCGATCCAGATAAACCCAGGTAAATGCAGATAAATCGAGGCAAATCCAGGTCAATCCAGGTAAATCCAGATAAATCTGGGTAAGTCCAGGTAGATCCAGAGATCTCCGGGGAAAGTTCGAGCACTTCGCGGCCGCTCCAGCGCGAGTCGAAGGACGGCAGAAGTCGTTAAGCCTTTAACGAGGCCCCCCTCGCGTGCGGGAGGAGGAGGAGGAGGAGGAGGAAGGGGGAGGAGGAGGAGGCCCCCCTCGCGTGCTGCAGAGCGCGCGGCGTCGTTCGGGGGCGCCTCGGTGCGCACGCCACGTCGCCACTGGCAGGCGGAGGAGTTCGGCGCACGGGGGCCCGCTCTCGGGCTCTCCAGGGTGAAGTCGGGCTGTGTCCCCTACGGTAGGTTTGCGTCGTGTCGACCAGCTGCGACCCCAGCGCGGGCGTTCAACGTTGCACGCCGCCAGCGACCCAGAATCGATCGATGTTGAACGATCGGGCGTTGCGGCAGCGGCCGATCGTTCAAGGTTGAACGATCCAGCGCGGTGTCAGGAACCAACGCCGGGGTCGGCACGACACGAACCTGCCGTACAGGGGGATTTCCGACGAAAAATAATGCCCCAACAAATAATCAGAAAATAGTCCAAACATGCTCTGGGGATTTTTTAAAAGTATTGCTTGACCTTTTTGGGGGTATTGTTTTAGTATTGCTTGACCTTTTTGGGGGATTTCCGACGGAAAATAATACCCCCAAAATAATCAGAAAATAGTCCAAACATAATCTGGGGACGTTTTTTTTTTTGTTTTGTTACCTTTTTTGAGGAATTTGTTATTCTTCGTCGAAAATCCCCCTGTAGGGGGACAGGCCCTACAGGGGGATCTCCGACGGAAAATAATGCCCCAAAAATAATCAGAAAATAGTCCAAACATAGTCTGGGGACGTTTTTGTTTTTTTTTATTATTTTTTTTTTTTCTTTTTTCTTTTTTTACCTTTTTGGTGGAATCTGTTATTCTTCGTCGAAGATCCCCCTGTAGGGGGACAGGCCCGACTGAACTCCAGGACCACCCTGGATCGGTCCAGCTCGGAAAATGGCGCAGCAAGGAGAGGCCTAGGGTTCCAGTCGTGATTCGTACGATGCTGCAGTGCCTCATGCGGGACCTCATGCGGCCATCGTTTCCCCGCGACTCTGGAAGCTTCGGCAGCGAAATCTGAACCCTTCCCTCGCCGATCAACGATTCAGGCTGCCCTGTTGGCGGCGGGGGTAGGCTTGGAGTTCGTCGAGTCCGTGGCGGAATCCGAACCCTACCCTGCCTCCAGTCGATTCCAGAGAATCGATGGTTGGTGGTGGCAGGATTCGGATGTCGCCACCTAAATCAATGGGGGGACAACTACCCAGACCCGATAATTGGCGTTTACTAGCCGGCCGTGGGCGTTTACCAAACAGCCATGCCCTGTTCGATTCCTTCTTCGGGTGCGTTTACTAAACAGCTTCGCTTACCGGGGTGGTTATTATGGGGCGGGGGGTGGAATTTCCTGTCTTCTACTATAGTTGAGGCTTTGTTGCACCGAGCGCTGGCCGAGCCAGCCATGTTGTGTGTATACCCCAAACGCCGGCGCCGTGTTTTTTCCCCGGTGTGGCTCCCCAGAGGCTTGGACCCCTTCCCTGGGGACCCGCTCTTCACCCTGAGCTGTTGTTTCTCTGGCCCGGGGCCTCGCAAGGGCCCGTGAGGCCAGTACAGTGGAAACCCATGCCAAGAACCACCCTGCTTGCATCCAGGGGGCTATGGATTTCTTGGGTTTTCGATGGTTTTGCGATAGAGAGCGTGACGTTCCCGCACCGACAATCAACGAACGTCCTGGGGTCTCAGGATTGGGTTTCTTGTGGTCTGGCCCCTATTGAAATTGTAAAATGACGCCCGTCGTTCTTCTTCCACACGTCGCAAGGGGGCCTGGTATTCGGGCTATGTAGCTCGGGACTCCTGCGCCTTTCATGACGACTCCGGCACCCCCGAAAAATCTCTGGGCGAGGCGCAGCTGCAGGAAAGCATCCCGAGGCTGGGAAACCTCCGAGGAAGTGTACGGAGACGCCCGAAAAACTTGAACGGCGACGCGAGGTGGTCAGGGCCCCCAGGGGGGCCTTGGGCCCGACAGGTCCTGCAAGAGGCCGCGAGGTAGTTTTTCTTCGGGCAAGTTTTTTACTTTCATCGAGGAGGGAGGGGGGGGGGCGTGGCAAGGCCCGACAGGAAGTCTGGACTTCACGCCAGGCGGGATTCACTTCGCCTTTTCGGCCCAGCGCTGTTTGAACTGGCGGCGGGTGGGGAGGGGAAGTGGCATCCGACCCCGGACCTCTGGACACGGGTGATCGGACAGGGCTATGACGACGATACATCCGTTCCAGAGCGGCGTTCCGTAACGCTCTGAGAAGGCCGCGGCGCCCGAGACATCCTCCAGAGCCCCCGGATCTGAGAGATTCTCGATTTCTCCTCACCCGATGTTATCCTCGTCCTGGCTTCGCCTCATCAGTCCAAGAAGAAACAGCCACACAAACATAAACTTTTGGCGCTCCGCCCGGATTTCTTGGATCCGCGCTGGGCCCCCCTCCCTGGGCCCTCTCCGCGATGTAGCCGCTGAGCGTTTGGAGCCCCCCCCCCGCCCCAGCCCCTCCCGGGGATGCACATCCTCCAGAGGGGCCGCGGGAGGGGCTCCACAGGCCATCAGGCGTCACGCGTGCGGCGTCCCTGCCATGGGCGGAGCGCCACTGCCGCGGCTCCTGGCCTTCCCAGTGTCCCGCCACACCTCGGCGACGGAGGAAAACGGGGTCGATGGCACGGACACTGGCGCGCAAGCTCCCCACGTCGGGTCGCGCGTGGGCGCCCTCCTGCTTCACGCAGTGTGCCGCGCTGGTGACCTGCGCAGGCAGTCGTGCGAGGTCGTGTCTCCTCGCCTCCGCCCCGCTTCCCTTCGCCGCTCACACCTGTTTTTGCCCCTCGCCAATGCCGCGGGCGTCCTCTCCGCTGTGCGCCTCACCGCGTCGGCCCCAAAGTGGGTTGACCTGGAGCGCTCAGCGGTTTTGCGTTGGCACCTGTCTCCCATCTTGGAGCTGGCTGGGGGGCCGAGGTTCCGTATGATCGAAATGGGTACGAAGGCCAATTGCGGCTCGTGTCCATATTGAGCACGACTCGATGTCGGCGTCTCCGCGGACGTTGACCACTTGAAGCATACGGTCGCCTACCCCACAGCGGCCGCTGTCGGTTTGGGACAGCATTTGTAGTTGGGCATCGTGCCCGTGCTTTCCGTACCCTTTCCGGGTGTGCCCAGAGGTAGCCCAGCATTGGCTCCAGCCAGCAGAACGCGGGGGGCAAGGTGCCCCCTCTTACCAGTTTCGGCCTTGGGAGGGGTCTGGGGACCGATGTTGAGCGGTTCTCTGGGGGCCCCTCCGGCACAGACTCCCCAGCTGCTTCCAACTCTTGCATCCCCCGCCGTGCAGCAGGTCCAGAGCAGTGGTGGAGGCCAGCCTCCAAGGGGAGGCATCTCCAGCATCTCTGCGTTCCTGTCTGCGCCCGATCTTTTCCTCAAAGCGCGCGAGGTCGCCCTTACAACGATCGGCGCTGCCGCAAGGCGCGTCGCCTCGGGCCACCTCCGCGACCACCTGCATGCGAGAGTGCTGGGAGGCAGGGAGGCCAGAAAGAGAGGTATCGAGAGCGAGGGGTGAGGCCATAGAGCAGCGGGCACAGCGGGCTGATCACCTCGCCGATCGCAGCGGGCGCAGCGGTCACAGCTGGTGGCCACGGCGCCCTCGCAACAACCGTGCACGACGGGCTCCTCGCCGATCGTCAGCGCCGACAGCGGCCCACGGACCGCGCCGGTCGCTTGGTCGCTCGATCGGCTGGCGGCCAGACCAACTTCGTAATTGCCGTGCACGAGCGCCTTTGCTGTTGGCGACTCTCGCCCTCCTGCAGCGAGCGCCTCTCCTCTCGCGCCTCGCGGATGCGCCCGTTGTGCGCGACCAGCCTGGCTCGACTGGCACAAAACATGCTTCTCCGCGCCCGCCCGCTGGAGAGCTCGGGGACACCGCTGAGAAGAGAAGTAAGAGGAAGAGGAGATAGAGAGAGAGAGAGAGACCGGGAGCAGCATGGCTTCACTGCCCCACCCTCCCATCGTAGCCCCACAGTCCCAGGAAGCCCTCAGGCTGGGCCACATCAGTCGGGGCTGGAGGATCGCGCCGCATCGCTGGGGCATCGCTGGTGTACGCGCGCTGCCGTGAGATCCTTCGGGCGAGGCTAGGACGAGGATAGATCCATTCCAGAGCGTTCGGGAACGCTCTCAGAGCTTTCCGGTACTCTCTGAGAAGGCCGCGGTGCCCGAGACATCCTCCAGAGCCGCCGGATCTGAGAGATTCTCGATCTATTCTCATCCGAGTTTGTCCTCGTCCTGGCTGCGCCGTAGGAGAAGGAGGCACGCGCAGAGAGGGGGCGGTTGGGAGAGGGGGGGAGGCTTCTGAGAAGCCTCCCCCCCTCCCCCTGTCCCGGCGTGCGCGCCGCCAAATGATGTGGATCGCACAATCTACAGTGCCGTTTTTAATACATGCTCCGCGTGCGGATCATGAATTTAACATGCAGGGATTTAGTATTAAGCACAACGATGATTTCATGCATACATTTATTCATACATTAATCATGTATGCAAAATCCTAAATAAAAAGATCCATGTATTAAAGACTGCCCTGTATCTGTCGACCGCACGATCTACCCATCAGGGAAGTCATCGGGGCAGCCATCGAGGCATCGGGCGGGACAGGGAGCCACCAGAGGGGTCGAAAGCCACAGGCCAGGCGCCGCGCACGGAGGTGCGGCTCGGCCCCTAATTGTCGGCGGGGGAGCCCATGCGCAGCTCTGCCTCACCAGCACGCGCGTCGCGCACGCAGCGAAACGATTCTCTGGTTGATCAGAGGAGGAGGAGGAGGAGGAGGAGGAGGAGGAGGAGGAGGAGGAGGAGGAGGAGGCGGACGCGGAGGCGGAGGCGGAGGAAGCGGAGGAGGCGGAGGCGGAGGCGAAGGAAGCGGAGGAGGCGGAGGCGGAGGCGGAGGCGGAGGAGGAGGAGGAGGAGGAGGAGGAGGCGGAGGAAGAGGAGGAGGAGGAGGAAGAGGGGGAAGAGAAGGGGGAACAGGTACCCATACCGCTACCTTCCATAGTTTTCCCGCGTTTTGGGTCTCCTGGGAGGCCCTCGTCGCCACCGCCCGATTCGCCCAGCAATTCAGGTCAGAAGGCACCCCGGGCGAGGCCCGGGGAGGCGCGGAATCGGTACCTTTGGTTTCCCCAGTTGGGGCATCTTGTGTTTCACTTCAGGTGCCACCTGCCAGGCCTCCGATATCGGGTTGGTGACGAAGATGTCTACTCTGATGATGCGCGTGCCATCACCATGGGGATCATCCTCGCCACCACCGTCGCCATTGCCGCCAACGTTACCTGACAACTCGCGCTGACTGCCCCAAACGAGACCCGACGAATTCACGGTTGTGTTGGGAGTGACGACGCAGATACAGCAACACCGGATCCAGCAGTTGACGCAATGGAGGGTTTCGTTAGACAGAGCTTGTTATTATGTCCGCGACGGTCGTACCGATAACGATGATATTGATCATGATGATGCTGATGATGATAACGATGATGCTGATGCTGATGCTGATGATGATTATGATGATGTTGATGCTGATGCTGATGCTGATGATGATGATGATGATGATGATGATGATGAAAATGACGATGCTGCTGATGATGATGGTGATCGTGATGATGATGACGAGGAGGAGGACGACGACAATGATTATGGTGATGGTGATGACGATGATGGTGATGATTATGATGATGATGATGCTGATGATGATGATGATGATGATGATACTGATACTGATACTGATACTGATACTGATACTGATGATGATGCTGATGATGATGATACTGATACTGATGATGATGCTGATGATGTTGATGATGATGCTGCTGCTGATGATGATGGTGATGATCATGTTGATGGTGATGATGATGATGATGATGATGATGATGATGATGATGATGATGATGATGATGATGATGATGTCCCACAAGCTTAGGAACATGATTGGACGGAGGTGGACGCAAATGTGCTCCAGATGTAGCCAGTTCGATACACTTGAACCTCGAAGAGGCTTCTGTCAGCAGGTTTTCCCTCAGTGCTCCTCTACAGGCACGGGGGGATGATTTCCGAGACGGGAGTAAACCTATAGGACCACCTTTCGGGTGATAAGAAGGTTGTGGGGGGGGCGGAACCAATGTCTTATTCAATTGATCCGACCACCGAGCTCACTATCGATCTCACTTCCGCTCTCACTATCGACTGGACACCTGCGGGACACCGACGGTACACGGACGGAACACCGACGGGACACCCCTGGCCACCGCCGTGGACACCGACGGGACACCACGGCGGGACACCACGGCGGGGCCGGCCGACTAGGAGCGGTCGTTTGTTTTGCCCCGCCCTAGCCACGGCGAGGTCATCCCTCTCGCCCGCCCACGCGGCTTCGCCTCGCCCGCACTCACGACACGAACCCGAATCCGAAACTGATTTCCTGGTGCGGGGCTCTCCGCTCTGCTTCGATCTCACCCCCCCATTTCCGATCCAGAACAACCGCCTTGGGGGTCGATCTTGTTTGGGGGCACCAGCAGGCGATGGGTATGGATGTATTGCGAAGGTCTTACGCTGGGTGCCGCAGTCACAGTGCAACGACCCCCACGGCGGAAGATGCGTTCGGGAAGGTCGGGAACAGACGCTCCCAAAAGTAGAGGCTACACGAGGCCCACAAGAGGTGCCCAACAACACCCACGAAGTTTTACAGGTGTCTTGGGAGCCTGTTGGGAGCCTCCTAGAGCTTCTTGGCGATTTCTTGGGAGCGCCTCGGGGCCTCGTGGGGGCCTCTGGAGGGCCTGTTGGGCCGCACCCGGGACCCCCTGGGGGGGTCGTATTCTGACCTAAGTCAGGAGGGGAAAAATCACACAGTCACAATTCATCGTCGACTCCCAGGAAAAGATTGGAAGATATAGGAACTGGGGGGGGAAGTCGAAAACACAGAAAATATATGACAATATAGGGAATCCTGTTATTTGTGTGCATTTAGTTGTGTGTCCCAGGGCCCCTTCACCAAGACCCCCGCGCCTGGCCCCCCTCCTCCAAACTGAACTCTTTCCTGGCGCCGCGCCGGGAAAGAACCCAGCTTACCGGGAAAGAGCCCCGTCCGCCGGAAAAGAGATGAGATGCCCCCTCGCGGCCCCCAAGTGGGCCCCACGAGGCTCCAAATAAGGCCCCAAGGGGCCCCAAGTAATGTCCCAAACCTGATGAAATTAGCCTAGCGAGGGACCCAGCCAAATGCAGTTGTGAGTACCGTCGTTGCATGCACCGCATTCCGAGGAGCTCCCTATAGGGCCACGAAACATGTGAGGGGTGTGCCAAACTTTGTTCGGTGGGCGCATGCGAAAGCAGCCACTGGGGCCGTCGGTGGAATTCCCTATGGGGCCACGAAGCGCGTGAACGTGTGAGGGGTGTGCCAAAGTGTGTTTGGGGGGCGCATGCTGGCGGTCCCACTGGGGGCTTCGGTGGAGCTCCCTATAGGGCCACGGAATGTGTGAGGGGTGTCCAAATTGATTTTGGGGGGGACGCATGCGGGCGCCACGGAGGGCTTCGGTGGAGCTCACTATGGGGCCATAAAGCGTGTGAAGGGTGTGCCAAATTGGGCTTGCGGGACGCATGCGGGCGGTTCTGTTGGGGGCTTCTGTGGAGCTCCCTCTGGGGCCACGAAACGTGTGAGGGGTGTGCCAAATTGAGTTTGGGGGACGCATGCGGGCGGTCCCACTGGGAGCTTCCGTGGAGCTCCCTATGGAGCCACGAAACGTGTGAGGGGTGTGCGAGTTTGGGTTTGGGGGACGCCTGCGGGCGGTCCCAGCTTCCGAGGAGCTCCCTATGGGGCCACGAAGCGTTGAGTGTTTGCCAAATTTGGTTTGGGGGACGCATGCTGGCGGTCCCACTGGGGGCTTCGGTGGAGCTCCCTATGGGGCCACGAAACGTTGCACTGGGTGGGTGAAGCGCAGGGAGGAGGGGGAGGAAGGAGGAGGGGAAGGAGGAGGAAGGAAGGAGGGAGGAGCGCAGGGACCTTCTCTTCAAAACGAAGACCCAACACCACAGGATGGTTTGGACAAATGATGGCCCCCCCTCCCTTCCCCCCAGATCCCGACTGCAATTTATTCGCCGCCGAATAACTATCGTTTCAACTGCCCCCCTGGAACATATTCCACGGGGACAGAACGATGCGACAGATGAATGCACACATGTATGTGTGTAAACATATATGCGTATACACGCGCTCGCACGCGCATGCATTGGTATATGCGCATGAACCGTATGGGTGCAGATGTGCAGGCTACTTCGGTCGACGAGTGGGTCGTTTTCGTCTTACTGGGGCACTGTACGTACGTACGCACGCAACTGCACGCACGCGGTGGCGCCCAGTTCTCGCGTGCTGTGCAAGGCTAACTGGCCTTATGCTGGCTCAATGAGTTCCAAATGCACAATTTGCTTTTCTCACACGGTTTCGGGGGTGACACGTGCCACGCTTTTTCTGGTGAAGTTGAGTGGCCGCATGTTGGATCCCACAACCCCAACTTTACAATTGTTGCTTCCTCCCTTCGG